CAGGGCGACTCCCTTTCATGTGACTTCTTTAATCTGATGTTGGAGAAGATAATAAGAGCTGCAGAACTGAACCGCTCAGGAACAATTTACTACAAGAGCGTGCAATTGCTGGCTTATGCCGATGACATCGACATCATCGGTAACAAAAACCGCGTAGTCTGTTCTGCCTTTTCCAAGTTGGATAGGGAAGCAAAGCGTATGGGTCTGGTGGTAAACGAGGACAAGACGAAATATCTCCTGTCATCAAACAAACAGTCAGCACATTCGCGCCTTGGCACCCACGTCACTGTTGACAGTTACAATTTCGAAAAAGTAGAGAATTTCGTTTACTTGGGAACCAGCATTAACACCGATAATAATGTCAGCATTGAAATCCAACGTAGAATCACTCTTGCCAACAAGTGCTACTTTGGATTGAGTAGGCAATTCAGGAGTAAAGTCCTCTCTCGACGTACGAAAACCACGCTCTATAAGTCACTCATCATGCCCGTGCTGGTATATGGCGCAGAAGCATGGACAATGACAACATCCGATGAGGCGGCTCTTGGGGTGTTTGAGAGAAAGATTTTGCGGAAGATTTACGGTCCTTTACGCGTTGGCGACGGCGAGTACCGCAGACGATGGAACGATGAGGCGTATGAGCTTTACAACGATATGGACATAGTGCAGCGAATTAAAATACAGCGGCTCCGCTGGCTTGGTCATGTCGTTCGAATGGACACCGACGCTCCAGCTCTGAAAGTATTCAACTCGGAACCCGCTGGTGGTAGCAGAGGAAGAGGGAGGCCCCCACTGCGATGGAAAGATCAGGTGGAGAAGGACTTGGCTTCACTTGGCGTTTCCAATTGGCGTCAGTTGGCACAGAGGAGAAACGACTGGCGTGCGTTGCTGAACTCTGCCAAAATCGCGGTTACAGCGCCAAAAAAGAAGAAGAAGACTTTAAGCGCCTATGGCACATATGCCTTCATACCGAATTTCAAGTTCTTGGGACTTATGGTTCCCAAGTTATAGTTTATAAAAGGGTCCACGCTTATGGGATGTGCCACAAACTCATGTATATATAGTAGGAACGTTAATCCCGGGATCCCGCTTTATGTTAAAAAAACGCTTTATGTTAAACATTTTGGCTATATTTCTTTTGTTTATTTAATATTTACCATTTTTTGATAAACGTGTAGCTCAATATAAATATAACACCTTGCGGCAGGCAATTTTGCACACACAAAAAATCAATATATTCGCCAACCACGGGCCAAATATAATAAAATTGCGTTCTTAATTTTTCCCTCTGACGTCAGGATTTTTTTAAAAGAACTTTGAAATTTGAAACACAGGAGTAATTCAAAAAAATGATTTAAAAATTTCAGTGCAATATACCTAAAAACCAGTATGGGTATCATATGAGGGAGAAGATTCTGTAGAGTGAAAACACATTACATTTTTTGGTGCGTAAGGGACGGGTAGGTATTGAAAATACCCTTTTATAATTTTATCCTGGAATATCCTTGAAATTTTTCAATTCATATGTTTGAAAAAATTATGTGTTATGGATTAACTTCTTTCGCTTAAAAAAATAAAATATATTAAAGGGCATTTTCAATTCCTATTCGTCCTTGTGAACCCAAAAAAAATATTTCATTTGGTACCCATACTTTTGTTTTACATTGCACTGAATTTTTTTAAATAAATTTTGGAACTAACCATATCTTTGCAATTATAACGAACCCCAACCGCCAAAATAACGTAAGTGACATTTTTTCAAAATTTTCGTTTTGATGCAGAAATGCATCTAGATGCTTTAGGAATATTTCTGCATCAAAAAGAAAATTTTTAAAAAAATGTCGCTTAGTTTATTTTGGCGGTTAGGGCTAGATAAAGTCCTTTTAAAAAATCATGATGTCAGAGATGCCCATTTATATTCTAAAGCAATGATATTGTTGCCTACATACGATTTTGAGGGCAAATAACATGTGCAACTCGCTGAAAACGCATAGAAAGGAGAACGCGGCAACCCGAATCATCAAGTCGTTCGGACAGAACATCAAAATCAAATTGGTTCGAACAAAGAGTATTCAGCAAATTTTTGTCGCCCTCTCAGTGAGACAAATTGGGAAAGGAATTCGTAAAATTACTAACAACAAGTGTCCGGACACGAACGGTGAATCCCCCTTTAGGCTGCGTTTCTCCAAATTCTTTTAAATGGAAATTAACATTAATTTAATTTTTTATTTAATTCTCATTTACAGCCAGTTTCACCAAACTCATTTAAGTGAAAATTAACTTTAATTTAATTTTTTATTTAATTCTCATTTAAATTATTTTCAGTTTCAATAAGCTATTTATTTAAGTGAGCAAAAAAGTGGTTGTGAAACAGACTAGGCCGGCGAAAGCTTCCAGTTGTACAGAGAGCTTTTGAAAGCTTTGGCACGCTGTGTTGTAAAAGCAGGGCTGGTATACAAGTAAGCAGCACATACACAAAATTTTGGTGTGTGTATATCGGAGATGGGCACCGCCCTGCTCGCGGACAAATCTCTTTCAAGCTCTCTATATATTTTATATAGACGCGTATAGAGTAAAACTGTAAACTAACTTTTTTATTTAATTCTAAATTTAAACTATTTTCAGTTCCAAAAAGCTATTTATTTAAGTGAGTAAAAGGTGGTTGTAAAACAGACTAGAACAGCGAAAGCTTTCATTTGTACTGAGAGCTTTTGAAGGCTTTGGTACGCTGTGTTGTAAAAGCAGGGCTGGTATACAAGTAAGCAGCAAATACACAATGATCTGGTGATTAAACGTGCAACACCTCTGAGTGTGGTAATTCTGATTTAATTTTGATTAAAGTAATTTTCACTTAAATTAATCTGGTGTAACGCCGCCTTAGCGTAGTTGACGGCGAAGAAAGACGCGTTAAAATATTTGACGGCGAAGAAGGACGCGTAAACTTATTTTCGCGGTCAATTATGTTTGCGGGTATAACCGTATGTAAATTCCCCAAAGAGATATGGGGAATGAGGTAAAGTGACAGCCCTTGACCAAGTATAAATCTATCATTACGCTTCTTCCTTCGCCGAAGTTTTTCTTAAGCGCCTTTTTTCGTAAAATTTTTTTGCGTGTTTTTTTAGCCGTCGAGACACTAGCGCGCCTTTATTCGTGTCTAGTGACTATATACATTTAGCACACAAAAAACGTGGTGTGAGCTTTTAACCAGGCCCACATGTAAGCATGTATTTCGACACGCTGAATCCGAATCTGAGGTCCGTTTGACTTCTACACCCTCAAAATTTCGAGTGAATTGCGAAAAACCGAAAAAATGGCAAAAGATTAGCATAGTTTGTAATTTGATAAAGCCTTCGGAGTAAATGGCGTGAAAAGTCGTAGCAGAAAATAAAATTCCGTCGTAGATTTTTATACATCGCTCATTTGCATACATATATATATTATGAAGTACATATCGATGGCTGAGTGGAAGATCGACCTATTTCGGCAGCCAGTCCGAAAACGTCCTATCGCAAAAAAATGTTTCAACAACGCTCTATCTTAGAAAACTTTTCAAGAACGCCCTTTCTCAGAATTTGGTTGAAGAACGTCCTAACCCAGCTGCCGATTCAAAAACGCCCTATGTCAGCTTATTTTCAAAGTATTTTCGTTTGAGATAGGGTGTTTATGGAACGAGTTCTTAGATAGGGCGTTTTTCAATAAAATTCTGAAATAGTGCGTTTTTGATTCAAATTCTGAAGTAGGGCGTTCTTGAAAAGTTTTCTGAGATAGGGCGTTTTCGAACTGGCAGCCGGGATAGCCATCGATATATAAAAGCAAGGTAGGTAAAAAGAAACCTTACGGTCAGGCTTGCCAAATGGCCGGGTCTAGGACCCTCCGGGCTTGGAGAAAAGTATGCGCGCTGCGGTTTTGCCATTGATTTCATCGAGATGCGGTTAAAAACTTTGAGATTATCCAATTTACTGGAATATGAAGTTCTTTTGTTTTTAATTTTCGGGTAATATAAAAAATAACATATTCTTTAAACACATACACTTGTTATGTAGTATAAATATGCATCGCTCTTCTAATACCATTTAAAATATTTTAACAACCTTGCCATTGTTAAAACTATTATCGATTCGCAACTCCATTTCAAGGAAAGATATCTGATTTGTGAATCTGCCTTTACATCCATCAATTCAATCACTTGGTATCCCTTTAGTTACGCAGTGGATAAAACTCTTTATTGCGTCTACGGAGTTCAGAGAATTGACGAATGTAATTGGTAAAATTCTGCTTATACCAGTAAGCAAAACTTTTTTTAAAGGTGTTTGATATAACGGCAAACAGTTGGACCCAAGCAAGAAACAGAATGAGGGTAAAACTGATATTGTCCCAATTTGACAAGCCTACTCACAGTGCTGACAAAGAGGCACACTACAACAAACCAGAAATGTTTTCGGATTTATGGGCAAAGAAACCTACCAAAATTTAAGGGGTCCTACCATCGTACCAACGAGAAAAAAATCTCCCAATTTTGGTAGGAAAAGCCCAAAACGGCAACCCTGTTTAGAACTCATATTTATGTAGATTACGATTCATGCAGGGAAGAAGGTAAAGTTGAGTATGTAGAAGAAGAAAGGGATAAAGGCAAAGATTAAAATGAAAGTAAAGAAACATAAATATAAAGACAAAGAGGAAGGAAAATTTAGATACCTAAATTAATAACAATGGTGGGAAAGAATAAGTAAATGAAGGAAGGAATGAAGATATAGATCAGGATAACGATAAAGATGAAAGACGAAGAAGAAGACGAAGATGAAGATGAAGTTGAAGATGAAGACGAAGATGAAGATGAAGATGAAGATGAAGACGAAGATGAAGATGAAGATGAAGATGAAGATGAAGATGAAGATGAAGA